GCCAGGGGAGGTTTAGATTGGACGTGAGGAAAAATTTCTTTACTGAAAGAGTGGTGAAACATTGGAACAGGCTGCCCAGGGAAGTGGTGGAGTCCCCATCCCTGGAGGTATTTAAAAGACGTGTAGATGAGGCGCTTAGGGACATGGTTTAGTGGGCATGGTGGTGTTGGGTTGACGGTTGGACTCGATGATCTTAGAGGTCCTTTCCAACCTCAATGATTCTATGATTCTATGATTACTCTGAGGAAGAAAAGAGATCAGAAATTCATTAACTGCTTAGATTTGGGTTTTTTAGGAGTGGAGGCAAGGAAGTTTTTAGAGGACTGTAGAAGTGAAAAAAAGCTAGAGAACTATTTTGCCTTTGATGGTGGGGGAGAAAGAAGGGACATCCTCCACTGAAAGCAAAAACATGCCCAGCTTCCAGGTGTTCTAATACCAAGCTCAAACACACTTTTACCAATGTAATCTGGCCTTTCTTCCCACCTCAGTCGCCAGCTTTCCCTGGAGAACACACAGGCATTAATGTAGTTCATTACAACTTTTGTCAAGAACTTAAGCGCATACAAGCTACCTAGGCTGTATAAAGGATTCTGAGACAGGTTCACTAAGATTTATTAGCAGGGTGCATAGCTGATGGCATGCAATGACTCTAACAATGGAAGTCACTTTGGAGGAGAAGTGAAAACAAAAGGAGACAGAAAGACATAAGGTGTCCCAAGGCAGTCTCTAGTGCTGCAGATGATTTCCCCCCATAAGAATTTCCCACAGTACGTATATACTTTTCATCAGGACCCTTTTAGACTCCTCACTAGATACATGCAGGCTGGCTGGCTGTTAAGCACTATGAAAGCATGTCATGGTATCCCCTAATGAATCCAAAACCTACAACCCAGAGGAAAGCAAAGGGAAAAAGAGAAGTCTTTCCTGCTCCTGCCAGTTATTACCCAGAAGAACCCACCAAACACTATTGGGATTCACAGCTGCAAGGTCATAAGGACAACAGCATGAAAACAAGGGGAAAATACTGCCCCAAAAGCTCTGCAACAGTGCCAGGGCAGCTTGGGTGAAAGAGGACAGAGCTGCTGAAAGGCAGGCAGCAAAGTTGCAAATGGAGGGCACTTAGCAATACAAAAGGCTAAGGCACCCCTGGCACTGCAATAACTACACCTATACTGCTTTAAGTTTGTGTCAAAACCTCAGTAGTATTCACTGCTTAAAAACACTGTATAATGAAAAGACTTTAATTTTCTCTTCTAAGAAGGATGCAGGTCAAAAAAAAAAATCTATATCAAAATTAACTATATATTCAGAAAATGCCACCCAGGAGAAGTTTTCAGTTTTACAGTATTATTTCTCATATATCAAAAGACAATTTTCCCAATTTTCTAAACACAATTTTTGAAAGACAGATCCAAAGTCAACTCTGACCCTTAGTGGAAAAAATATACATTATCCCTTCCTCCTAAGTATACTTTAACCTCTACTGGGAAAAATAATACATCTGAGTTCTGAAAAGTGACTGCAGAGGATTAAAATCCAGAAAGAAATGGCTACTGAAGAATTAGACAAGTCTAGAAAACAAACCAGGACAGTTTCCAAAGGCACAGCTGGCCTGCCCCAAACCCTGTAACGATGAGTGAGATCTGCATGCCTAAAGCCCATTTATGATTCAAAGTACATATTTACTGCACGTGAAGAATGAAATATGGAAAACGCATAGTAGTGACAACAGCAACCTTGTCCACTGATGACAATGCAAGTGTAAAGGTAGTTATTTCATAAGGTATTTATCGCACTTCCTGTCCTAGAGAAGAATAACACATGCAAGAGCAACTAGGTTCACACCACCTAACAAAATACAGGCTTTAAAAAAATAACATTTGTTTAGAAAGTCCCATTAGCATTGTTTAGATATAAAACAGAATTCATATCTAGCTCTTGTAGGACCCAGAGTGATTGGACAAGGGAACGCATGCAACTGTGGTGTGTTCTGATCCATGCACACACAGAGTAGCTCCTGCTTCTCCATGTGTTATTTTCGAGTTAATCACTAGACATTTAACATTATGCCACACTAACCATTGTTAAGTCTCACAGATGGAGCTGAGTCCAACAAACAGCAAAGCACTTTTTCCACACTGGAATTAATACAATGGAGAAAAAAACAGTACAAGGGCTTATAAAATGCAAACATACATATGTATAGACACCCACATATGACAACGACCAGCCGCCTCTGAAGCACAGACACACTCTTGATCTCCCTCTGTCCCCCCGCAGCCCTGCGGTGCAACCCCAGAGCAGGCAGGCAGCAGGCCGCAAGGGGAACAGGTTGCTCTTACCACGAAGAGCTCGTAGCAGGTCATGCCCCAGACCTATGGGAACGCGGCAGGGACACAGCACACCCACCTCCCACGCTTACGTGCACACACACGTATGTGTGCACACACACACGTGTGCATACACACGGAGCGGAGAACCGCTCGGAGCCCTACCTCCCGCGGCGACTGCCCAGACCGGCCCGTTGCCACGGGAGACGGACCCGCGAGCGATTACCGCCTCCCCTCCCCGAGGAGGCGCCCCCAGTACCACGCCCTCCCTCATCACCTCGCCACGCCACTCGGAAGGCACCGTAGGTGCACGCCCGGCCGATCGCCACCGCCGCCGCCATACCGGCCGCTTCTCCCGATCCCGGCCACCGTACTTAGCTGCCCCGCTCATTGCCTGATGAGAAAGCGAAGGCAGCAAGAGAACAGCTTCGGGAAAACTAGGGAGGAACTGCAAAAACCAATGGCTGACACTCGGCTGAAGCCTCACTGAAACGCTCCCACCGTCCCGGCCCCTTCCCACGAGCAGCTGCACAGTTAACGGTCCAACAGGCAAGCGGCCGAACAGCCCCTCAGCGGAGGCCTGTCGCAGGACCCCAACGGTCGCCGAGGCGCTGCCCGCCACCCAGGGGCGGGGCCGGGCGGTGGCGGCCTTCTGCCGTCCGGCCCGGGCGAGGCCCTCGGCATAAGGGAGTTGAAGTAAATAGCCGTCCGCTGGTACCTCTGCGTTTCCTGCCCTCGCAACCGCTGGTGCCGGCAGCTGTGGGGGTGGGCTATGGGTGCAGGTAGGGGCTCACCCGTGCGGGCCGGGGCCGGGGCCGGGGCCGGGGCCGGGCTCTGCCTCTGCCTTGCCCAAAACCAAAGTTCGCATGAACACCAGGGCGGCAGCTCTGCCTGGAGCTCGTACGGCTTTCCTAGGAGTTACGGTCTCTTTCCCGGTGGTTCCATTCCTCTTTCACACCCCTGAGGTGCAGTGGGCTGTGCAGTGCTCCTCGTGCACGTGGCTCGGTTAGATAAGGTGTCTCCTCACAGACAGCTTTTTTCTAGTGGCTCTGCATTGCTGGTCAGAGTGGCAGCCAGGGCACGCTTGCTGTTCTGTGGATGCTGGTGGCCATTTGATCCAAAGGGGCAGGTGAGCTCCAACAGAAGCAGTTTCCTGCACAGACGAACTTTGCCTGTGGCTTGGAAAGCTTCCCTGTGCCTGACAATAATGCTGTCAAATACAGCTTACCATCTCCCCACAGCTCTGTTACTCCCCTGAACTGCAGCAGCTTAAGCACCAAACGCGCTTTAGGAACTGCTCAAGACTCTGAACTCACTCATACAGCAAGCGTAACAAGAAGACCTGGCAGTTCAGCATACTGCACACACTTTGTACCCTTTGTTGTACCCTTGGGGTGGGAACCATCTCCTACTCTCCTGCATGGTGCCTACCATTGTGGCTCTAAGGCATTGTTATACCGAGAACGAAAAGGCAGAATGCTAGGGGATGAATTCTTGCTTTTTCAGAACAGTTTTTGAGGCAGGGAAAACTCTGCTGGAAATTATTCACAGCAGCTTTTTTCCCTCTTATTTTTCTCCCTTCTATGCGGCAAAGCCAGTAGAGTTATTGGTCTGACTGCCCTCTTCCGCGATACAGGCATTTTCATATACTGCATTACCGTTCTTCCTGATGCACTAGTTCCAGTATTAAAGACTACAGTGATAACAAATAGCTTAATTTGCATTAGTGAGCAGAAGCTCACAACCTGCAATGTGTTCAGTATTTGTTGTACATTCAACATGTAACACAATGATTGCTTTGTACCTTATGGAACAAAAATACACTGAGAAGCTGTAAAGAATTCTTTCCTGTAGTGTGCTGACAGACCAGCTGCTGGCAGAAAATTGATGCAAGACATAATCTTTTAAACAGGATTTTTATCCTATCTTCAGGCACTTTAAATATGCCCATTCTCACAGCATTAAGATACCACATATTTCAGGACGTAACCCTGACAAGTGTCGCTAAAGATAAAACCAATTAGTCTCATAAATTTCTGCAGATATGTTCACTGCAGTATTTATTTCCAGTTCTTCCTTTTGGAAGTAATTGTGTCACGCAGAGAATTAAACTCTCTTTTTTTATTTATGCACTGGGTGATCTAATGGAAATGCCCCTTTCTGCGCATCATTAACTGGAGAGAAAGAATTTGCCTTGTACAAATTTGTTACATAGAAAAAAAATTGCAGCCAGTGAAATGGCTGTTTAGCAACTGTACCTTGTCACGCTGCTACAGCTGGTCAATGCCAGCAGTGTAGGGGTGAGCGTGTTTTGTCTTGTGTCAATGGGAATTGGTTTATGCACTAGCCAGTCTCTCAGTATGCTGCACAGACTACAAAAGATGGAGAAAAAGTAATATGCAGTCCTGAAAGCCAGTTTCTGGAGTTGATTACTGGTCATTCAGCTTCAAGATCCAACTCAAAGAGGACAAATTTTCTCCTTCATGAGAGTTGTTTATTACAATTATTCCCCCCCTCCCCCCCCAAAAAAAAAGGACTACATTTTAAGAAAAGACTTCCCAAAAGGCTAAATCATCTTGGAGCAAAACCTTCCAAGTCTGAAAAGTTAACAGAGTTCTGAATTGACTTAGAATGGTCTTGGGGTTTGGGGGCTTGGGAGTTTCATTTAGACCTTCTTAAAAAAATCTGGTTCCATTAGCTCTGAACTATTATTATCTTACCTGGTTGAACCCAAAGTTCTCACCCGAGAACTGGAAATAGCATGCTAAGTCTCCCCATGTACCCTGAGCTCCACAGAGACCCAAGTAGCCTGCAAAAGTCTTTGTGTTAGAGCTGGGGCCCCAGAAGAGCACCTAGTGCAAGTGCTTGGTTGCTGTGCAAGAAGCTGGTGCGGGTGATGCCATGAGAAGCTAGAGAGAAAGCAGATGACCGGAGCCATTGGTAGCACCTGGTTAGTACCAGCATAGCACTGTCGTGGCAGGCAGGAAAGGATGTATGCATGGTGGGGAAAAGGAACCAGAGGGGTGATCAGCCCAGAAGGGGGAACAACTGATTGTTAAAACACCACAGTGCAGCCACCATTCTCCCTGTGGCGAGAAGCTAAGGTGGAAAAAGCCCCACTCCACAGGTATCCATCAGGCAGCCTGGCGCTTTTAGTATCCCACTGCACTCCTGTGAGACACATATCTGGTCTGTCCAGCACTGGAATACTTTCAGCAAAGTGATGTTATCAGCTATTTCTTTGCTGTCTCAGGGTACAGAAAAATCCCATCATATCTGATAACCGACCAGACCTGAAAACAATTACAGTAAGCCTACTGTCTGGGCATGCTGTCATTTACATTTTGGAGCAAACCTTACTTGCTCCAATTTTTTCACCAGTGATAACTCTTTGGCGGTAAAATAGATTTGAACCAGTATTAGTCATTGATGTGTGAACAGTGCTGCCACTGGGAAGGACAGCAATGCAGGCTAATAATGGACCATTCAAAGGCAGGCTGCCTGCTCCAATGAAGGATGAATAATGCACTCTAACGCCAGCAGACAAAAATTTCAGAGATGTGATTCTGATTAGGGTTTTCCTATCTTTGAATAATAGCAAAGTCTCAATCTAATCTAGTTCATTTGTTTCAGCAAGACTGATAAATTTTAACAACTGATAACACAAACACTGTTTCTTTGCCTAGCTCATTGCCTGTAAATCTCTGTTGTTTAAAGTTGCTCCCCAATGTATGCTTTCCCATTGTAAAAGCAATGTCAACTAGATGCATTACACTGCTTTGAATCCTCCTTGGTAGGAACTTAAGATGTGCAAGAAGAAACATCTCTAAAGAAGAGGAGCTCTGCAACCTAGTGGAGTCAGAAGGACTTCACTCACTTTGGGTCAGCTTCAGTAGGAAAGAGGCTGGTGTCTTGAACAGTTTCTGATAAATGAGTTTCCAAAATAGCAGAACTGGCTGTTTGGCATAGGCAGCCCACTGTCGCAGGGAAAATCAGCCAGACCTTGCTCCCAAGGGCTCAAGGAGAGGTGAGACAGCACAGGCAGTTGTGGGTGGCCTTATAATATGGAAGCCTCAGGAGTATTTAGCTGTTTAGCAACTAATGCTAAGAAATGCAAGATCCTCCAGGTGTGGTGGAAACAGCTGCATGTTCAGGGAACAGTAAACCACCCCCAGGTAGCGGAGATACAAGCTTTTGTACCCTTCTTACCTGCCTGGGCCACTGGATAGTGAGGAACCAGGGAGCTTTCAGCCCAGATGCCCACCTTGATCCCAGGCCTTGGTGGCACATGGAAGGGGCCCCATTCCCAGCTTCCTTGCTAAGGGCCAAATCATCCCCGCTCTGCAAACACAATAGCCAGTTGCCAGTGTTGCCTAGGGGAAGGTTGCCAGGAGAAAGCATAATACATTCTCCATGGAAACCTGCACTTTAACAGTTTGCTTTTGTACATGTTGGGGACTGATGAGCACCGTCAAGGATCCTGTTTCAGGAAGGTGTCATTAAAGATGCCAGAGCAAGGCCATCAGCAGTATCCATGAGGGCATGAGGGTATACCTGCCAGATTGCTGCTGCCTTTTACTACCAGAGTGTTTTTAGGCTTTCTGCCAGAACCTCGTGTTTCTCCTCAGCCAGTCAGGAGTAACTGTGGCACACGATCTCCCAAGTGGTCACTCCTTTGCTCTGTGCCAGCAAAATCAGCTATTCCCTTTGCAAATGCTACCCTTCTGCTCCTGCCTGTGCTTTGCATGGTGTTTCATTTTCTCCTCTGCTGTGCCAGTCTGTGGAGGCTCCATGCTGTAAAACCACAGCATCGCTACAGAAGTGTATCTCTGGGACCAAAGATCAGCTGCCAAGGAGAGTGACAAAGACAATACAGCTCTTTGTTAATCTAGAGATGCTGCACAGCAGCTTTCAGTAATTTGAAATCTTCAATGGGTGTTTAATACACCCGTTCCACTGAATTGTAGTCAGAAACATTCCTGGCCTCGTCAGTATTCTTTCTCCACTTCTCTGCCTCTCCCCGTCTTTTTTTAGTCCATGGATCTCACACTTGGCTGATCACTTGTTTTCTTCAACAGTTCTGGGTGCTTGACTTTTCTTATTTGGGCATAAGCATTGGTTTTATGGAAGAGGCAACACGTGAATCCCAGATGTCCACATTATCAGGGATATGCATGACAGAGTTATAGCAGCTGTAGCGATACTGCATCTAACAACATTGTGTGATATGTCACCAGGTGAAACCCTTGCTTCTTCCCAATACAAAATTATACTGACATAGGTATCTAGAGCAATTGCTGCTTGCTCTGCCTGGTTACTCTTCCACTTTTGATACATAGGTGGTCAGCAGGGGCCTTGCAACTGCTGGTTGTGCTCAGAATCAGGCAAGGAAATGAGCAGGTGCACTGGCCATTCATAACTTAACATGCAATTACACAGTGGTATTGCTAACGAAGCCAAAAGAAAGGTCATAAACAGACTTGCAGTTCTGAAGGTGCCTGGGTATTTCTGCCATTGCTGTTATGAATCTTTCAGCAATGACGTTCCTTGGTATTTAATTGTTTTGACATGGCATCTGTGAGTCCCAAAAGCCACTGCCAGACTTTTAGCAGAGCAATGTGAAACCAGCATGTAGCTGATGATTGAAAAGGTTAATATGACTACTGCCATCATTTCTCTAGTGTTGCAGAGGTACAGTGTTACAAGCTACACATCAATAAACTGCCAAAGCGAAAGCTGGAAATAGATTGAGGCTTTCCCGTGGCCAGCTCCATTAAGGTATACTGAATTCCAGGCAGGACAGAAGATAATGCATCTTGAAATAGATGATTACTGCCAGGCACCTGGTTTGAAGGCTGTGCAATCGGAAAAGTAGTCAATCAGTTATACAGAGCAATAAACATACGTAAAGCAGGGTCTGGCAGGCCCAGAAGGCTGCTCAAAGATACCTCTCAGCCAGTGTAATGTTCACCTGATAGTACTGCTCCATCTTTTAAAGAAATACACATTTCCACTGAGATCTAAGTATTATTGCCACCTGGCATCAAATGCATCGTAGATTTCTGTATGGCAGCAGCCAGAGATACAGGAGTAGTAAGTAAACAAAGCAACTGTTCACTCTTCACATTA